TCATTCATAATCATACATAATTCATGTAAATTCTGAGCATGCCCCTATCATACATAATTCATGTAAATTCTAAGCATGAATTGTTTTTCACTATGTGCTTAAGAATACTTTTCAGAATCTGTTTTATTCCCCTTTTGAATAAATCCGAATCAGACTGTTTATACTTTTAAAAAGGAAAAAGAAGGTCAAGTGGTAACCTTGGGGCATGGAATTATGGGAACCGAATGATGCAAGCAAAACAGATACGGCAAAGTGTTGGCGTGCTAAATCTAATTCAGGATGTTTTTAATTATATAGACATTTTTGGTAGATTTGGAATGTTTAAGTTTGATCTGGACTAGTCTGAATTGGTAGTAGTGTGGCTTGATCTCATATGGTAAATGCAGTTTTATGTGTATTTTACAATTGTTGAAGTTTGATATAGTTTGATTTTTTAAAACACGAGGTCTGATCTGAAACTGAAACCAGTCCAATTAAATAGATCTTTACCATCATAATCTTTAAAAATATATGGTGAACAAGCAAAAGTTTTACATAAAATTTGACGAAACTTATTGCCATACAGTAGAAGATTATAGGGAGTATACTACGCTCTTCGCCAATTGCATTCAACTTCTTACTTCACCAAATGCATCCAAGTTTACAACCAAAGTCGCAATTCTGTTTCCATCCACAAGCAATTCTCTTTACATGATTGATCTATCCACAACAGAACAGATTGCCACACGAAAAAAAACGAAAGAAAGGACTAACAACGAATTCTATACAAGCAAAAAAAACCAGGTGACCGATATACATCATCATATCTGAACATGCCTAACCGCTACTTCAGAAGTAGAGTGAAGTATCAGGCTCTACTAGCCAAGGGATAAGGGCAGCACTCTCGTGGCACCCAACAAGCTCCATGAACCCTCCCCCACCAAATCCTGCTGGCGGGGCAGGCGGGACAAGCCTGCCACAACAAGCCTCACACACGAACAGTGGTGGCACCGCCATGTCATCCTTAATCCCTAGACACCGAGTGTGCTGCCATATCTCACACATGTCACATGACATCATCCTCTCCCCATCATCGTCCCTGGCCCCACACCTGCACTCCACAGTCCACTTCATACTGTCGGTCTCCGAATCCAACCCAACCCCTGTCACTAAAATCTCAGTCCCCGACTCCACAATCCCGAAAATGACCTCACCATCCCCAACTCCCTCCAACCCCTTTATGTCACTCACCACGAACCCCTCCATGCCACAATAAGTTCCCCTCATTGCCGCCTGCACGGCCAGTTTCAGATCACCAATTGTTGAGTGAAGTGGGACCACAATGTGCTCTTTAGGGATGACTGTTTCCATTTCAGTTGAGATTGGGATCATTACCACACAGATGAACCTGAGCAAGTCATCAAGCTCATCCCTGAATGGCCACTCCTTCACAAAATGCTTCGTGTCAAGCACAGTTTGAGATTCTTGGTGGTACCCCAATAGCACATTAGTGTATAGACAGTAAAGATCTTCAAAAACATCACTTCCTGTAATGGAAGAATGTTCCGAAACCTTAACTCCATCATTGAGCTCCTGAATTGTGTACTCCAACACCCTTGTTGCTTTATTAACTGCACGGCGGACCACATAACTGCCCACGATCACATTGTTCATGGACTTCAGGACGTGATCGATCAGCCCGGTATCCCCAATGTGGGCCCGTGCAGCATCCCTTACCTCTTGCCTAGTCATCCCAGATTTGGATTCTTGTTTCTTCTCCCTCAAGGCATCAACGATCACATTGGCAGTGAATTCAAGCCTTCTAATAGGCCACCTGCTGTCCATGCAGGCTGCAAGGCTGGCAAACTTTCTGCACCTTGCTGATCTGTCCTTCTTTCCTGGAGGCTTACACTGAATGGTAGTCCTAACCAAACGTTTCGAAGAACAAGGCCGAAGAAATGGTGGTCCTACTGGTAGCTTCAACTTCAGAGAGATCATGAATCTGAATAGATCCCGGAGGGTGTGGAGATGATGAGCTTTGCTTAGGTTTCTGTAAAAGAAGATTGTTTGGCTGATCTCAAATGCACAGGTGGATTGACTGAAATTGTCAATGACCTGATCGAGGTCTAATGAGCTGAGGATTTGTAGAGCTCTTTCATAGTCATGTTCCATCACTCCGAAGCATCCGTGCCCATATCTGTAACCCCACCTCCCAAACCATGAGTAGCCATATGCTACCCCATAGAGTAATCTCAAATCCATTGAGTGCTTCTTAGATAGATCCTCAACTGAAATACTTCTGTTGATCATGAAAAATAATTCCATAAATTCATCAGGCAAAGACCAATTTCACAATTCAATATCATCTTAACTCATAGAGTAAGTGTGATGCTTTGGCTTACCGAGCTTGGAGATTGGAACAGATACGATCCCAGAGGTCCATTATATCTTTCCCACAAATATATTTCGATCCGCCTTCAATTCCATTAATGCAGAGCAAGTGACCAAACCCGTTGCAGTGAATCATCCCATGAAGAAGATGGGTTTGCAGATCAAGGAAGCCTTCCGTCAGTGGCTGATTCCAGTCGTCATCAGCGGGAATTATAAAATGATAATTCCTCTTCGAGACTAAATGGTGTCCCCAGCCTGAAATCAATTCCCAAATCTCCGTCAACCCTAGATTTAGCGCAATGAAATAAAACAGCGAAACCCTAAAAATTAAAACAAGTTTTATCTAGATTTACCGGCATATCTGCAGTGGTTGCAGGCTTGGTGCGCGGCCGAGCTCTGGACAGTCTCTTCAATGGTGTAAAGAGGAGCTGCGAATCCTCTGCTTTCGTGGACCAGAAAGGTAACCCAGACGGGCATTCCTTCAACCTCGTAGTCCTCGAGCTCGGTGCATTGTTGAAGGAAGAACCGGACGTTCTCGAAAAACGGGCCGGTAGGAAAAATGGGGCAACCCGGGTCCGCGAATGTGGCGAGGCCGAAGAACTTGGGCGCTTTCCTCGTTTTCTTGAAAGCTTCGAGAATCGGCGGTGACGTTTTCTTGGACTTCATGATTATTGCTGCAGCTCTTGGAATCTTTCTTCACATGCCTAGAGAGAGACGGAGCAGATGGGTTCAGTTTCAGAGGTCGTTATCGTGAGCTGAAGATTTCAGTGGTGGTGGTTGCTATTTGGCGCCCCAACGGGAGGTTTTGGGCTTCATTTGACAGAAATACCCTCGGGGTTTTAGCCATTTGAGAGGTGAGTAGGGGCAAGATGCGCCATGAGGTTTGACCGTTGACGGCCAATTAAGTTGAGATTCTAGGAGAGATGTGGCGACTTGAAACTGGCAATTATGCTGACGTGGATCAAAACGCAAATTACACGTGCCATCATTGCACGCGATTCCAGCCGAACCGTTGGATACCCGCACTGAACCGGTTTGGTCAAAATGGGGAAAACCGGTTTGACTGGGAAACGAGTACGGGGCGGGAAATACCCGATTTTTTTAAATGGATAACGGTGCGGTTATAGTTCTATACTAATCCGCCTAGTTATCCGCCTCGAAACCGCCCCGTTCACTAATGGTGCGGGTACCCGCACCATTACCCGATCTGTAACATTATTAATAAATTATACTACCTCTGCCCCACTAACATTGGGACGGAAGGAGATAACACGATTATTAAGAAAAATGGGTTTATGTGGTTGATATTGAATTGATAAAATAAAAATAAAGTAAGAACGATTTAGAGCCACACAAAATTTACCAAATTTGGTATGGGACAATCTTAGTGGGATTTCCCGGAAAGGTAAAACGGGATGATCTTAGCGGGACGGAGGGAGTAACTCTTTATATATAAGAATAATAAGTATATATACTAAATTGTGTACACTAAATCGTATATATCATATAAGTATATAGAGAATATTACACCAGAGCTGAGACACACTTTAAAAACTCTAACATCCCTAATTCAGAGTCTATCACGGAATACAAATTTACGGCTCAAGGCTCTGCTTCTTAACGGTGAGAACAACTCTCTTCGATTCTTCTAGATGGAACGATGCTAGGCCTGCAGTTCGGTTCTACCACTGGTGGCTTCTAATCTCTCTCAATCCTCTCATTATCAAGGATTCTACCCAGTTTTTTCTTTCTAGTATTTTCAGAATCGCTCTCGTCAAAGATAAGTTTTCTTGTAGTTAATACAAAGTGTGTATATTACAGTTTGGTGAGTTTGCTCGATGCCTATCTTGTGATTAATACAGAGTGTGTATTACAGTTTTGTGAGTTTGCTCGATGCCTAATTTTGTAGTTTTTTACATCATTAAGATTTAGCAAAATTGGATACGGAGTGGGTACGGTATACGAAATGGGATGCAAATTGAAAAGGAAATTGGGACTTTGAATATACAATTTACTATGAAAGATGTTTACATTAGGATTAGAAATTGGTTATTTAAGAGCATTTGGGGAAACCATCACAATTACCTGTGGATAAATCGATTCCCCGTTGGGGTGGGTACGGTTCAAATAAAATTACCCGAACGGGTAATGGGGCAATTTCGGGGCAAACGTTTATCCAACGCGACGGTTTCGGTTTTATGTGTACCCGTCTCTAATCCGCCCCGTTGCCATCCCTACTTGGAGCCCTTACTCCTCCATCCGGGTGTAGGTACATCCAACCCAACTGATGAAAACAGCTCATGAATTAATAGTCTAATTTTCTTTTTCGGTGGTATTTTTGTATTTTAAACGAAAAAATCACGGTTTAATGTGCGCATGCATCCTATGTTTTAATGGAGTGGTGTTTTGATGTGTCCGTTTTCAAGTGTCATGGTATCTCCATCTTTGTATTCGTGCACATAACGCTTTCCAAATTCCAACCAAGAATGACTTTTAAGAGGCTCTTTATGGAACACAACTCATCATTTGTGGGATCCCAGATTGACAGGCAAAGTACACGATTAAAGCCGCAAAGATTTTGGTTTATACCGTTCTCAAAGTACATAATGTACATGTACATTTGAGTTCTATTTTATTAGTCCAAGTTTTAAATCATTAAATATCTTCATGTGATTTAACCCACACAAGAAATTTATCCAGCTGTACAAGATGGTGCACAATATATTTTGCCAAATCAGAAACAGTACAAAGAGAATAGCAGATCAGATTGCATAACAGACGCTTTGCACAATTCCAACCACAAAGCTACAATTATACAAACTAATACTCCATACTACTACGTATTAACCAAGGGTTTGTTTCGAAACATTTCTTTTCAAATTTCTAAAATTAAAATAATGTTTGGTAGTATTGTCTCTCAATGGATGTCACGGTGTCACAAAACAATTAAATCTGCCAGGGTTCCGCTTCTGTTGAACTTTGCCTCATTAACAGTTCAGTCAACTCCAAAATCTGCTACCAGAACAACTGTTATGATCAAGAACAGAACAACTGAAGGGACGGTGAAGAGGAAGTGCCATTACTACCAAGTATACAAAAATGGATTTCACAGATGTTTAGCTCTCCAATCAACTGTTAAGTTTTCATTGCTATCATCACTTGATGACTCTTCATCACTAGTAGACTCTTCCTTGGTGATCGGAAGAGAAGCTTTGCTACGGATGGTAGACTTGCGAGCCTTAAGTTCCATCTTTTTCTTCTTCAACATCTCCACCCTTTCTCTGTAGGCCCTGAAGTTAGGAATATCATACAACACAAAGTAAAGAAGCTTACATAAAATAAAGAGTACGTAATTATCACCCAATTGAATGCTACTTACCTTTGTTCCACAGTCTCTTCCTCTTCTATCATATCAGCTGCATCATACTACAAGATAGAACATCAAAATGAATGAAAAAGGTAATACATCATGTCTGGTAAATGACAAAAATCATACAACTTATAAAATTGTTTACAAAGTTACCAACCTCCTCTTCCTCTAAGCGTTTGTCAACCTCCTTTAAGTCCTCCTGGATCAGCTTCTCAAACTCCTTGTACTCATCCCTGTCCACAATTCACCTTTCAGTCACCATCATAGTTTCTGCAACCTGAGACTAGTATTTTAAGCATGCATAAAGGGATCCTAAGGACTCTGATATTGCAAAAATCTTTATAGTTGCAGATATGCTAGGCATGACAGCACCAGAGATTCTTTTTTTCTTTTTCTTGTTTTTTTAGGGGGGGTGGCAGCAAAGTTCAAAACTTTTCACTTTTACCTCTAAGTTCACTACATTTTACAACAAATCCTCCAGCATACCGCCAAAAAGGAAAAAAACAAAGAGCATTTTCACACTTTATGGGGTATTATATGGTATCATATACATCATATTACAAGTAACCAAGATTTCCACGTGAAAATGTGAGCACTTGATAAGGGCAAGAGAGCAATCAAAATACAAGGTAAAACAAGCTAGCGCTCTTACTTGACATCAGGTTTGACTGGTGTAATACCACGTGCACGCAAATCAGCATCTTTATTATCATAAAATCCTTCAGGTATTAGTCCTTTGGCCTTCCTTGTTTCAGAGCCAAGAGTCTGCTTTGATATTTGTTCCTTGGACAGCCCAGATTCAGAACTTCTTCCATCAATGTTTACATTGTTTATGTCCACCTTGCCCCTTGGAATAGGTGGCAATGATTCTTTAGCTTGAGCAATGGCTTCAGTGTTTTGTGTGCCATGGTCTCTTGATTCAATATGATCTGATTCAACAAAATAAGATTCATGCTTAAAACATTAACCATTTAAACAAATATCTAATAAGGCTTTGCCTTGCAGTAAATGAAATTACTGCTTAGGAATACAATTCATCAGAAACTTAGGGTAAGTGTGGGAGGGATGTTTTGAAAGGAAAGAGAAAGGAGTGATAACTTTTCATTTCAAGGAAATAACGCTTTTATAGTTCTACTTGATAATTATTCATTTAATAGGTTTCGCTTTAAACTAAAAAGACTATCGAGAAATAAAATGTATCACAAACATTATGTGTGCTGAAAGAATGTCACTGAATGGATGAGCTATGCAATAAGATGCACCAAAAAAACAAATGGTGCATCAAGCATGTGACAAACAGGATGAAAAGTAACAGAGCCTTTTTTTACTTCTAAAAAGGACGTGCCACATACCTAACTACTTCTCATTTACCTGATGTCGTTAGAGACTTAGTGCAGCCCAATAAATATGACAAGTATTACGGAAGGGTCTATTCTAGAAAGGGGAGAAAGAAGAATAGTTGTTAGTTAAAGTCTGTTAATAGCTAATAACTGTAGGCGGTTGGATGGCTTACTATAAATCGAATAGACTGGGGAAATAAGGGGAGGCGGTTAGACTGTTAAGTCAGGACTGGGAAGATTAGAGTTCTAGCTCTATCTTTTGGGGGCTTCGGCCATTGTAACTCTGTTTGATTTCAATAAAGCTGGTGAAGTTCTTTTGATTTCTTCTGTGGTTTTGGTGTCTCTTACAGTGGTATCAGAGCACGACGATCTCTGGGTGAGATATACACGTGCGAAGATGGACGGATGAATGACGGAAGTGGAAAAAAGCTTGACAGATATGACAGGAAGGCAAAATACGATGGAGACGGTGATGACCGCTATGCAAGCGAGTCTCGCTGATATTCAGAATCGACTTCCAGGTCGTGCGCGAAGTAGGTCGCAGGCCTCCTCAGCTTCGCATCGCACTTCTCACCATCAGCGATCACGAAAGTCAGAGAATGATGACGAATTGGATGGAGACTCGGATCATTCACCACATCGTAATCACCGACATCACAGGGAACACAATATACGTCGCCGAACAGGAAGCTCTAGAGTTGCTATGGAAGACCGCGCACTGAGTTGGTTTCAGTGGTGGGAGAACCAGACGAGAGAGAGGAATTGGGACGCCATGAAGGAAGCTCTAACTCGAAGATTCCAACCAGAGTTGATACGTAATCCTTTGGGACCTCTATTAGGTCTGAAGCAAAAGGGAACTGTGAAGGAGTTCCGAGAACAATTTGAGATGGCTATAGCATCACAAGGCGATCTAAGTGAGAAGGTCACGAAAGGCATTTTCTTAAATGGTTTGAAGAAGGACCTGAGAGCTGTATTGAAGCTTTACAACACCAGAGATTTGGCTGAAATCATGGACACAGTTCAATTGATTGAGAATAAGAATTTTGAAGTGATGTCCAGCAGAAATAATGAAGAAGGGGAGAAGGTTTGGAAGAGCAGCAACTCTGGATAACAAGGTTACAATAATTGGGGAGATGGCAGTAGAAAAACCTACAACCAGGCATCTACCAAGCCATTTGTGAAGGACTCAGTGGAAAACAGGAGGCAAGGGGAGGGATCTAATTCTGTTTCTAAGAAGTTAGGCCCTAGATTGACACAGAATGAGTTGTTCGAAAGGAGTAAGAAGGGACTTTGTTTCAAATGTGGGGACAGATGGAACAGAGGCCATATTTGCAGTATGAAAAATTTTAAAATGAGGCTGGTGGAACAATCTGAGGGAGAAGAAGAATCTGACATGAATTCTGGTGAAGATGATGAGGGAGAAGGAACACCTATGGAGGTTAAAACACTGAAATTGTCTGTTCTGAGTCAGGAAGGGATTCCATCCATGAAAACATTCAAAGTCCTGGGAAATCTAAAGTGGGAAACTGATCAGAAGCAAGTAAATATTTTGATCGATTGTGGAGCCACACATAATTTCATTTCACAAAGACTGGTAGACACATGGAAGATACCTTTTAAGAGTATAAAGGGCTATAAGGTGCAAATAGGGAATGGGAAATTTCTTCCCAACAATGGCAGATGTGATGGGATAGTATTGGATATCCAAGGAAATGAGATCCTACAGAAATTTTATATTCTGGATTTGAGTGGAGTAGATATGGTGTTGGGGATGGAATGGTTAGCTGATCTTGGAGATATGGAAGTCAACTTTCAGAATCAAATTCTTAAATGGAGAAGACAGAACCAGCTTCATACTATCAAAGGATATATAGTAGCCATTACTCACATTTTACAGAATACAGGAGATGGGTACTTGTTGTTTTGTGAAGGTAAAGAGCAGACTTCCCAATCCAGCCTTGCAGAGGATGAAACCTGGAACAAGGTAGTTGGTGAGTTTCCTGAAGTTTTCAAATCAGTATTGGATCTTCCTCCAGAAAGGCCATGTGATCATGCTATAAACATCATAGAGGGAGCCAATATACCTAACCTGACGCCATACAGGTATACCTATGATCAGAAGAATGAAATTGAAAAGATTATACAAGAAATGCTTTCTTCTGGGATTATTAAACATAGTAACAGTACATACAGCAGCCCCATATTATTAGCCAAGAAAAAAGACGGGGGGTGGAGATTTTGTGGTGATTATAGGGCATTAAATAAGGTGATTATTCCAGATAAATTTCCTATACCAGTTATAGAAGAACTTTTAGATGAGTTAGGAGGAGCTAAAGTGTTCTCAAAACTGGATTTGAAATCTGGATATCATCAAATAAGAATGAAGAAAGCTGATGCCCATAAAACAGCCTTTAGAACTCATGAGGGGCATTATGAGTACATTGTGATGCCTTTTGGGCTAACAAATGCTCCTTCAACCTTCCAAGCATTGATGAATGAAGTTCTGAGACCTTTCTTAAGAAAGTTTGCTCTAGTTTTCTTTGATGACATTTTGGTTTATAGTAAATCAAAAGAGGATCATGTAGAGCATCTAAGAAAGGTATTGACAGTTTTGCAAGATAATAAATTGGTAGCCAATTGGAAGAAATGTTCATTTGGTCAGAATCAATTAACATACTTGGGTCATATAATTTCTGAAGGAGTATCTGCTGACCCTAGTAAAGTGGAGGCTATGGTGAGCTGGACAGAACCTAAAGATATCAAAGGGTTGAGAGGATTTCTGGGTTTGACTGGTTATTATAGACGGTTTGTAAAGGGGTATAACAGAATTGCAGCTCCTATAACCAACCTGTTGAAGAAGGATAGCTATCATTGGGACAGTAATGCTAGCAGGGCTTTTACACAGTTGAAAGAAGCTATGACTACATTACCTGTCCTTGCAACTCCAGATTTTAATAAGAAGTTCATCATTGAAACAGATGCTTCTGGAAAAGGGTTAGGTACTTAGGTGCTGTACTCATGCAAGAGGGAAGACTCATTGCATTTATGAGTAAGGAACTCTCTCCAAAGCATCAGAGTAAGTCTGTGTATGAAAAAGAGCTTATGGCTGTGGTTCTGGCTGTTCAAAAATGGAGACCTTACCTACTTGGGAGAACATTTGAGGTTCATTCAGATCAGCGAAGCCTTAAATACCTGACTGAGCAAAAGATTATGGGGACTGAGCAACAGAAATGGATCACTAAACTATTGGGGTACAATTTTTCCATCAAATACAAACCAGGCATAGAAAATAAAGCAGCAGATGCTTTATTATCCTTATCTGTAGTATCTTGTCAGGAGTGGGCTGGACTGGAAGAAGAGCTACAGGAAGATTCAAGGTGTAAGGACATTCTGCAGAAGCTTTCATCTCAACCAGATTTAATGAAGGATTACCATATCAAGGGAGGGATCTTATTTTACAAGGGAAGGTTGGTACTGCCTAAAGGATCTAGCAGAATATCTAGAATCCTCAAGGAATACCATGAAACTGCTATGGGAGGACATTCTGGTTATTTCCGAACCATGAAGAGGATCTCCAATTTATTCTACTGGAATGGAATGAGAGCTGACATAAAAGATTATGTTCAGGGATGTGATACATGCCAAAGAAACAAATACCAAACATTGAAACCTGCAGGTCTGCTACAGCCCCTACCCATCCCAGATCATATATGGACTGATATTATCATGGACTTTATTGGAGGGTTGCCCAAGTCCATGGGAAAGGATACCATTTTGGTTGTGGTGGATAGGATGACAAAATTTGCACATTTCTTACCTTTAGCTCATCCTTATAATGCAAAGGGAGTTGCTGAGATTTTTATACAGGAGGTGGTGAAGATACATGGGTTCCCTAAATCTATTGTGAGTGACAGGGATAGCCTATTCTTGAAAACATTTTGGTCTGAATTGTTTAAATCAGCTGGCACTACATTGAAGTACAGCACTGCCTACCATCCTCAAAGTGATGGGCAGACTGAGGTGGTGAATAAGTGTTTGGAGACATACTTGAGGTGTATGACTGGCAGAAAACCAAGACAGTGGGTGAAATGGTTGCCTTGGGCAAAATTCTGGTATAACACTAACTATCACATATCCCTGAAACAAACACCATATCAAGCTCTATTCAGTCAAGAACGTCCCATAATAGTCAGAGGAGATGTTAACCTGACTTCAGTTGCTGAGGTATCCAGGCTGACTGCGAAAAGAAATATTATACTAAAGGAATTGAGGGATCAGCTAGCCAAAGCACAAAATCAAATGAAGCAACAGGCAGATAAAAGCAGAAGAGAACTGAAGCTAGAAGTGGGGAACGATGTCTTTTTGAAGATTCAGCCCTACAAAATGAAGAGTCTGGCCAACCGGATCAAACAGAAATTGAGCCCAAGATTCTATGGTCCATATGAGATCATAGAGAAGATAAATGATGTAGCTTTCAAATTAAAATTGCCAGTGGAAAGTCAGATTCACCCTGTTTTTCATATATCTCTACTGAAAAAGGTGTTGCATCCCACAGCTACCTATCAGGATCTCCCCAAATGCTTAACTGAGGAAGGTGACTTGGTGGTGGAGCCTGAGAATGTGAAGGAGGTCAGAATTAATCAGAATGGGGAGAAGGAAGTCCTGGTGCATTGGAAGGGCCTTCCTGAATTTGAGGACTCCTGGGAAAAGGAGCAGGTGATCAGAGAGCAATTCCCTACTCTCCAACTTGAGGACAAGTTGGATTTTCAGAAGGGGAGTTATGTTAGAGACTCAGTGCAGCCCAATAAAGATGACAAGTATTACGGAAGAGTCTATTCTAGAAAGGGGAGAAAGAAGAATAGTTGCTAGTTAAAGTCTGTTAATAACTAATAACTGTAGGCGGTTGGATGGCTTACTATAAATAGAATAGACTGGGGAAATAAGGGGAGGCGGTTACACTGTTAAGTCAGGACTGGGAAGATTAGAGTTCTAGCTCTATCTTTTGGGGGCTTCGGCCATTCACCATTGTAACTCTGTTTGATTTCAATAAAGCTGGTGAAGTTCTTTTGATTTCTTCTGTGATATTACTGTGATTTTGGTGTCTCTTACAGATGTCCTGAACCTTGTAAAGTGGGTTAAGTAGTCTAATATTTCAAAAACACCAACGTGAAGAGATAGGTCTATACACTCTAAATGTTTACTACCAGACCAATTGTAGAAAAAAATGCTTCATCATGAATCCAGATTCTATCAATAAAAACTTACCACTTTTTTGTTTCTTTGTTTCCTTGCTATCAAAAAAGTTGGGAGGAAGGGAAGATGCTTGTCGAGGTTTGGACAGCCCTGTAGAAACTTCAGCTCTTTTATTAAGAAACTCGTCATGATTCTCAGGTTTAACTCTATGTGAGTCTTTAGGAAGCTCAGTATTCACATTGTTAGTTTGCTTTAGTGTGGTAGATTTGGCTTTGAGATTATTGATTGCCTACACATGCATAAGAAAGTTAAATCAAGATCCAAACTAATATGACATAAAGTACAAAGGTGTGCACTAAAGCTCAAGAAGATATGAACATCAACTGAGGAAGTGAAGAGTTTTTATACAACAACATTACCACAGTGCCGCAAAGGCTCCCACCTATGGTGGGGTAAGGGGGTCGGATGTACGCAGTCTTACCTCTGTACTAAAGCACAGAGAGACTGTTTCCGGATGACCCATGATGAAAATTGCGTCGAAAATTGCATGGACAGATTGTTGATTCATAAAAAAGAAGCGTAAACAGTTTAGAGAGCCATTTTGCTTTATTCCATCATATTCAAAAGCCAAAAAATAGCGAGTATTTGGCTCCATTGGAAATGATGGAAGTGAAGAGTCTTTATGTGAAGAAGAAAATATCAGACAAATATCGTTATATGTGAGTATGTGACGCTTTTTTGGCAGACCTTTTTAAAGGGGTTTTTCCATAGAACACAAAAATCAACTTCTTTACTACACATTTTATATTTGTTCTATTGGAAAAACAAAAATTGCAACCCTGGTAATTCTACTGAATTGGGAAATGTGTATGGCAGGTTAAGTTGTAATAATATTCTACAAAAGTCTTAATTTGGAATAGTCTAAAAAGACAGTGACATCTTGAATATTAATGGAGTTCTAATGATTCATTAAAAGTTTTAATTGAATACCACCCACCTTTTAGAGTTTTACTTGAATCCATAAAAAAATAATATCAAAATTATAAACTTTGCAAAAGACTATAAAAGCTCAACTGCATTTATTGACTGTCAAGCTCAGAAATAATCGATTGCATTGACATGGAATTCATTGAAGCAGAAGCCAAGAGTATTATATTGTTTTGCATAGTAATCTTAATACAAGAAAAATAATAAGTATGTCAAATGTTAGAGATCAACGTCTTGAACTTCATATAAATAAATACAGGAAAACCTCTACCGTATTATGTTTACGAGATGCTTGGTGAACAGTCCAGTCTGTCTCAGATTTCAGAAGAACGTCACAAACTCTACAGACAGGTTGATCATGCTCATTGTACCTGTATTTAGAAGAGGGTATAATTAAAATTTAGAAAGAAACTCATAAGCTTTAATCTACAACTCTACATTGAGTACTACATTTAAGAAATGTGAATGTTGTCTATCTCACCTGAGAGCAAGAAGAAGTTGTATGCTCATGAACACACAAGGTGGGTTACAATAGATAAAAACTTAGTATTGCAGTCAGAAGCAGCAAGGTTGGTTACACAAGTTAACGGGGTATCAAATGGAACAATACTATAATGAACATGATCATGAAAGTTTGAAGCGCTTTTATTATGACTAATTCTACATGTTCTGATGCTGGCAAAAACAGTAAGCAGTTTTGGTTTCTCCCAAAAACATGATGCTGGCAGTTACTTATGTTCCAGAAAAAGCATTGCAGAAGTAAATTCCCTGAATAAATTAAATAGGAACTCTGGTCCCTTGTGCAATCATCAAGTCTGTTTTTCAATCGCACAAGCACTGCCTACGAATTATTCCTAATAATCTATAACCAACATACATTATTTTATACACTGATCAATAATCACTGAGTTCAAGAAGGTCACTTCTTTCCTTCTACTCCGTATAATTTTGTGGCTTTAAGGATTGATTCATTACCTCACAAGAGGATTCTCAATACGCTTCTCATTCCTCTTTGCCAATTTAGCCCGGAACAGCGCTTTCTTATCAGCCATCCCAATGGTTTCCAAAATACAGCAACTTCACTCACAAACTATATGCTATGAAACCCGGGAAAATTGCATTTCGGCACTCTTCTTTGGGGTTACGTTAACCCAGGTCCGGTCCTGAAAAAATGGAGACCTGTGCAATAAAAAAATCAGGCTTTCCTTTCCAACACAATTAGAAATAGTAATAAAGTACAAATGATTTGTACATGTGTACAAATTTAAGTTAAAAGTTAATTTAATTTTGAAATAAGGACTTTAAAATAACAACCTCACAAGTAATACTCTGTAACATACTACTACGAATTTATTAAATATAAATAGTTTAATTAATTCATCAATTAATTACACGAAGTCAAAAAAACGAACTTTTTTGTTATATTTCACCATACATGAGTAGGTCTAAGCCCTAATGGCCCTAATAGCCCTAATAATAATTAAAATCAGCAGCTCAATCACAAATTCACAAATCACAATATCACATAATAAGGAAAAAGCTTAATCAATAATAATTCAAACAAATTGAGAAAAGTAATAATATATCGTTTAAAACAGATAAACTTACCTGCTTCACAGGCTCACTGCTTCAGCTTCAGCAAAAAACAGCGTCTGAGTAGAGTCGTAGCCGGTTGAGGTCTGTTGAGTGTCGTCTGGAGGCCTGGTCGTGGTCCAGACGTGCGGTGCTGCTTTGGCGGCCCTAGACGGACAGACGGTGATCGCCTGGTCGGCGACTCGGCGGCGATTGACGAAGGTCGAAGGGTTTGTCGTCTGAGGAGTCGTCTTTCGATTGGGCGGATGCGGGATGCGCCGTTGTCGTTGGTGACCCTGTTCGGCTGCTGGGCATCGATCAATTTTTTAAATTTGACCAACTTTTTATTTCGAGTGAATTGTATTATAATTAAAATAAAATAAGTAAAATTAAAGTTGTTTTTTATTTAATTGGCTCAAATTAATAAGAAGATCTCTTTAGCTATTTTCAAATAATGCTTGCTTTATTTTATTAATAAAATATATGTTAAATATGATTTTTTAATAAATTATCAAAATGAGTCACTTCAATCAGAACATCATAGATTTAAGTAGAATCTGTCAACTCAACTAAATTTGTGTTATCAAACATACGAGTACGTGGTTCACTATTTTTCTTGGACTTGGGGTACGTTTGACACACCCATTCAGCTCAAACAAGGCGGAATTTTTTCAATTTCAGTCAATTTTAATTAAAGTAGCTCTATTTGTTTGAAGGGCTAAACAAGGCTTGATTTGGGATAATGAGGTTGGACTTCAACGCTATGAGAAGTAGCATTACTATTCAGTCGATGAATTCCAAATTTTTTATTCCCAAGATAACCTTCACACCTTTCCGATGATTGATCTTTAAACTCTGTTGGTAGTGAACTCATGAGTCCTTCTCCTTGCTGGTTATGTTCGTTTAAACGGGGTGTGTGTGTTATGTGTATGTGTGTATATATAGATTATTGAGGACGAGCAAATCCTGGCGGGACTTGTGGTCAATATTTTCATGTATGAGAATGCTTCTATGAGTCTAGTCAACATTGTAGGGGCTGGCCTTAGAAAGTATTTGAAAACAGAGATGAGCGTTCCTTCAATCCTTTGGGTATTGAATTGTCTTTGGATAATCTAGATGTGATAATTTTGATTTTGGTCTGTGTTGCCTTCGCTTTGTGATGAGTGTTGATGCTATAAACCTTGACATTTTTTGGGGCTGAGTACACAGCCAAAAGGATTAACTTTGAGATTATTCCTTCTTTATGTTTTTATTTAAATTTTTCATTTTTTATGGAGGAATGAAAAGGATCCTAGTGTGTGTGTGTGTGTGTGTATTACCCTAATGATTTCAAAAAATAAATAAATTACCAACGAAGACAAATCACACATACTACAGACAATAAAGGGATCATAGTGAACAATACTACTAACAAATGTGTTCAAGAAGTGGATGTTGCCTCCTCTTTGAAGTCTCAGTCATGGATGACATTGAGGTATGGACGAGGTATGGACCATCGTTGTTGCTTGTTTGTGTGGATGCTGGCCGCCGCCTTTTGAACCGAGGTCAGAGAGTGGAGGAGGAGGAGGAGGAGGAGGAGGAGGAGGGGGGGGGGAGTTTTGGGAAGAGAGAGATGCGCGAGGGGGTAAAAAATTCAAAATGATTTTTTTGGGCTTTTATATGGTGTACATGAAACGTACATAAAGCATTTTTGAATGACATTTCACGTGCTTGAAACTCTCTGGTCCATAATGTCGAGAGACTCACATCACAGCTTTGTGTGGAGACATTCCATGCCATGACCTCGACATGAGAGCAACATGTTTGTAGACATGAGACATCTCAAGATTAAAGTGTAGTTATATTCGGAGTAGTTCTATGGAGTCATATGTGACTCTTCTATGAAATCACATGAGTAATGTGACATCATCGCCATTAAAATATGTGTGGAGATGATGCCACATTACCCCATGTGACTCCATAGGAGAGTCACATGTGGTTCTATAATTTTTTTGGTTATATTCGGACTTATGAATATTAATTAATTAATATTGTTCTCATTTAGACTTTTATTTTTCCGTAAAATTGAAACATATCAATGGAATCAATATCTATTGTTTTTTTATATAGTAAAATTGAGTTAAACACAATGATGTGTGAATCTTTGATGGGATAATACAAATTCATTTATCACTACTACTAAAATCATTGATTAATCACTACTATATAGATTCCCTATAATTTTGCATCACCATTCGTTTGGAGTGAAAAAATTCTTTTTAAAAGTGATATAACTTTTGTATTTATATTTCACTTATTACAGAAAAATATCAAAATTCATAATTTTTTGTTATCTTTCATATGACACTAATATTCAAGATATAAAAATAAAAAATAATATTTATTATTTTATATAGTAAAATAGAGTTACAAATTCTATTTATTAATAAAAATTCTATTATCACTCTATGTATCAATGCTCATTTGGAGAAAGGGAAGGAGAAACAAATCTCTTCTTTTAAAGTGATATAATCTTTTTATTTGTACTCTATCTATGACACCAATATTCATATATAAAAATAAAAAATATCAATTATTTTATATAGTAAAACACAAATATTAATCGTTGACATGTCAATCTCCTATTGGTTAACAAAAATTATATTATCATTATTACTAAAATACTTAATTAGAGCGGTTAAATGAAAAGCCAGAGAGAAAAACATGTGCAAGCCGGAGAAAACTAGGCTAAAAAACGTAGAGATAATTAAACCTGAGTCCATGAATTAAAATATTTGTTTAACAATAATTCTGTTAATGTGTATAGATAATTATTAATTCCAAAAAAAATAGCTAAAAGGGCTAATCAAAAAGCACAAGGAGGAAAATGTGGAGAAAATACAATGTTTAGTGCATATTCACTGACTGAGAATCTTTTAGTATTAAATAAATGTTTATCCCGACAATTTCAATTAGAGCCTATTTGGTAATCCTTTTTTTGATTTATCAGAGTTATCAACCAACTTTTTCACCAAACACGTAACTTTTGATTTCGCGAGCTGAATTGTGTAATAATAAGAAAAAGTAAGATTGGGGTTACTTATCTGGCTGTATTGACTAAATCAACCAAAACAACCAATTTGAGTATTACCAAATACGCTTTTAGCTGTTGTTTTCTCTTTGTTAGTTATTCTCGTTTAATTTTCTTTTATAATTATACAATCAATATTACCCAATTTTTTAAAAGTAAATATAAATGGAAACAATTTTATCGAGAATTGTAGTACCTCGATAACTAAATAGACGATAAGTGGTTTTTTGTTTTTCTTCTTGGTCTCTAATTAGCTCGACGTGATGATTATGATAGATCAAGATCCAATAAATGTTGAAGTTAGATAATAGGGAAAATCGCACTCTTAGTCCCTGAAATAGTCATCATATTGAAATGTCAGACCCGTATTCCAGACTTTGTAAATGTCACTCCTCAATTGTCCAATTTGCTGTAAATGTGGTCCTTTGAGGGTGAAATGTACACTATGGGCGAGGAGTACATTTCACCCCTCAAAGGACCACATTTAAAGCAACTTGGACAAATGAGGGGTGACAATTACAACCTCCGAAATACGGGTTTGACATTTCAACATGGCGACTATTTCAGGGACGAAATGTGCGATTTTCCCTAGATAATATTGAAAGAATTTATACACGGCGAGAGTCAACCCGTCTATGAGAGCGAAGTCTGAAACATTGTATGTTATACATTTAGGGATTGCTTACTTTTTTTCTATTAAGTCGTGATTGAATTAAGACGGCAATCTTGATTAAGATATCATACTCCAATTAATTGTGAGAATCAACATATATTAATGTTGAAAAAATAATTATTTGATTTACAACCCTCATTTATTAGTAAAAGGTTTTATAGATATCAAAATAAATAATAAATAATACACATCTTAATTATAGAACAATTTGAATATAGTTAACACACCAAAACTCTGAAACCAGGTAGAGGAGATGCTCTGGGCGATATCCTTTCCCCTTTCAGTCTCATCCCCTTTAGAAGTGGAACTTGCCTCGATTTTCTATGCTATCAACTGGGCAATGGATCTGGGTTACTCTGATTTCCAGGTTGAATTCGATTCTGCGGTTGCTTTAAGGTGTATTGAAGAGGATGGTGCGGGTAGATGGAAGGCCTCATATCAGGAAATGGTACTTGAAGCAAAAAGGAAAGGGGTTGTTTTTAATCACGTTTGTAGAGAAGGTAAATGAGTCTCTCATTTTATAGCAGATCAAGCTACGGCCCATCATCAGGATTTTTTTCGGGCTTCAGATTTACCATCTTTGGCCCGTTCAGCTTATTTCTCAGATTTATTTAATTTTCCCTATTTTAGATACGTTTAATTTTATGTATTGGATCAGGTATAGCCCCCCCCCCCCCCCCCCCCCCCAATACTGTTCTTCTACTTTCATGTAGTTGTATTTTCTTCGGATGGGTTTTGACCTAGTCCCCCCTCTTCATGTACCTTTGTTTCCTGTACTCCACTGATTTTGGTGGTTTGCCTTCCGAGATAAAAAATATAAAACTCTGAAACACAGAAAAAATGGTACGATACACTTAGATTGAGAAATAAAGATGTTTTTACAAGATTGATTTCAGTCACTGGGCAAACTCACCAGAACAAGCCAAATAAGATTTAAACAGACTAGACCAGACTTAAACAAACCAGACCACACCAGAACAATTGTAAAATACACATAGACCAGACATCTACCAGACGAGACCAAACAAGTAAAATCAGACCAAACTTAAACAAACAAGAGTAACTAACTAACTAACTAACTTAATTAATTAGTATGTGATTCTGGAACGTGAAATTTGAATTATGTGTAAAGTGTTAAAAGGAACTTTATCTAACTAAAATTGAAATTGTTTGGATAAAATTGAGCCCGATAGATTTATATATTAAACAATTTTATCTTATAATTATTGGGAAATGGTGGTTTTAAATTATTATACTTTTGATGATATTGTAAGCAATAGTTGTTGTCTTGCTACAATGAAATACTTTGCATAGTATGAACATGCTTCGATTAATGTGCTTATAAATAGAATATAAAAATAATATCAAGTCTAAAATCAAATTAATAATAAAATATTAGTGAATATATTCTTCTCAACAAAAAAAAAATGATATTTGCAAGTTGGTAATATTTTTTTTATCATCAAACCGAAAATATATTAATTCAAAAGATTGTTAGCCATCTAGCTAAAAGTACAATCATGAATAGACTAAAAAATAACCCGTTGGTCTGGTATAGACACATGTGCCCTTGTCAAATCATGAGCTACATGATTCGCA